CTACTAAACTCATTCTTTAGAAGTACATATTGTTTTCAAATCAGTTACATATCTCAGAAGACTTTCCATTGCAACAAACTCGCTTGCAAATCTTGTTCTGCCTGGTCGCAACAGATCTCGGCCATTGATATATGTTTTCATCAAATTGACCACTTCATCACTGTTGTATATAAATCCTATAATTTCTCTAGCTTCTTTTATCGTATCCTTCATTGACAATATATTTATGATATCTTCTAACATGAAATCAATGCAATGCGCAACACATGGAGATCAAAATTTGTGCTTCATTTTCCTCATCAGTTTTTTTCTCAACAGTCTTCATATTAGCTTCACTATTAGTTACAATTTGTACAATATTATCAACCCCTACTAATTCTAAAACCTAATCCATTAGGATGTAGACAAGGTTTGCAGTCTTTGTCTTATTCCTACAATCGACCAAACTGTGATATATCATATCTCTGTCACAATACATCATAAAATTTATTATTGGATATTTTGTGCGAGTACTCCAACCATCACACATAATTGTACATTCATATGTTTTCCATTTCTACTTTAAAGAATCAACATACTATACAACTTCTTTCATCACCTCGTTCAAATATTCACCCCCAATTTGCTTACCAGTAGATCCTTTAACTTTAGGTCCAACAGATACAATCGTGTCAATCATCGTTTGGTAGCAAGGACCACTATCGGCAGAGTAAAATGATACTACATTAAAATAAAAAAATTTCGAAATTGCTCTACCCACCTTTTTTACATGATCTTTTGAAAACATACTTTTCAAAGACTTATTCTTCAATTGAAACATGTATGGATCAAGAATTTTTTTTATTTTTTATTCAAACCTTCTTTCTTTTTCGTAGAGCTTTCAATTTACTTTATTTTGTATTCAAATTGCTTCCTCCTACATAGATAAAAATATGATCATATATAATTGCTATCTAAAATATATATATACTAATATTTAAATATATTTTATAAAATTCAATAAATGGCTTTAAAATTCTATATTTCTACTTCACTCATTGTTTTTTTTTTAATTCTTTTCTTTCAAGAGCATTTATCTCATCTTTATTTATTTAAAAAACTTTATCTTCTTCCTCATCAAAATCATCTTAAAAACGAATAGAATTGTGCAATGCTTCTAAATTTAAATAACAATATCCATCAATTTATGATATTAGTACTAATTAAATAAACCAACGGATAGATGAAGTTTAAATGATTGAGATGTTGCATATCATAATGATATTCTCTATAACATAATAAAAACACTGTTACATTATCATTTAAATATTCTTGATAAAAAAAAAATATATTGTACATATGTGCTTGTTTTAAAAGAATATAATGAAATGATCAAGGTATCCAATTGGCCTAGGTCAAGCCTTAATCGTTTAATCCGCCCCATATTAAACGTGGTACGATAAACTTAGACCTATGTCTGAATATAAACTCTTTTAGGCCCATTCATTAAAGACCAGTCCATGACTAATATGGAATTATTTCAATCCGAAATTGGTTCAATTTTTTTATATGTAATTTTCATTTCATTTTCTTTCATACGAATTTATATAATCTAGTCCAGCTTGGAACTATCCCAGTGCAATTCGGTCTATGAGCCAAACTACACCAAATTGGGCCGCACTAGCATATAAGATCTTGGCCCAACCCGATACATATATAAATTGTTGGATTTTTTTTCATTTATCATAGATTTGAACTACTTTTATATTTAATCTCGAATGTTGAAATTGATTTTGAACGATTAAGATGAATTTGATACAATGATTAAACCCTAATCATCACCATAATCAAATGAAAAGAATGCGGCGCAATGCGATCACTTAGTCATCACATTGCCACGCGCGTATCACACTAGTGTAACGCACGCACCTGATCCCCACATCAATTCATTTTCATCGTAGAACAAGAGGGAGCGTGTTGTCAATCTCTTATAGATATAAAAATTGACCATTCCAAATCTCATACACGTTTTCCAATTAGAATATTCTAGACAACAATATTTAAGGAAATAAAGTGAATCATTGTCGCATTCCAACTTTCCTTTCGGTTTATATCCCTTTCTTCGCTACATCCAAAAACCCTTGCGTTTGATTTTGCAGGCTTTGCAGGAAAACCATAAGCGATTGGTTTTTGCGATTTTTGCACGTACTCTATCCATCATCATTGAAGATTGGTAAGTTTATTATTATTATTATTATTATTATTATTATTATTATTATTATTATTAATATTCGATTTTGAAATTGTGTGAATTTTCTAGTTTTGCGTTTGTTGATTCTCGATTTTCTTTTAAAGAAAGTTATGTGATGTTAAAATATTTGCAAATTCTTTACAGAGTGAATATTTTATAATGTTGAAGGTAGTGGGCTTTTCAGGGTGTGTTTGGTTTTTATTTGAGTTTGAGATTTAATTTAAATAGTAATTTGATACGATGTTTTGTAAAAAAATAATATATTTTATATTGAAAATCATGTGTTAAATAGTATAAAATTGTATTTTAAATAATAATAAAAAAAACCCCTTAGAATTTTTTTTGTTTATGTTGGAGTTCCTATTTGTATGATTTTTATTTGTTGTATATATAAGTGCTCTATCACACTTGGATTACATGTGTGTTGTGCTCTATTTGATTCTATTGTGGAAAAAAAAATTTTGGATTAAGTATTTTGATGGAAATATAGGATTTTTTTATTTTTATTTCAACCTCACTTTTATACTATATGCAACCGCACAGTTTTTAATAATTAATATATTCTCTTTTCTCATAAATTTTATATTAAAATACTATTTGAATCGAATTTCAAATCAAAATCTCAAACTTAAATAAAAACCAAAGCACACCCCCCTTTGCTTACTTTGGCTTGATACTTTGTGTTTTGTGTTTAAATGGTAGTTGAATACGGTGTTTTATAATAATGAATAGTAAATTTGAAAATAGTGTGTTTATTTGTGGGGGTTTTAGTTTTTATTTTACTATTTTAATTTTTTTTTTAAATATATCAAATCAAATATATATATTTTTTATTTATTATATCGCACTAAAATTTAATTTTATATTCAAAATATCGTATTAATACATATTTATATCACAACACACATCTTTCAATTTTAAATTTTACTATTTAAAATTCAAATTTAAAACTAAAATTTCACAGGCAAACACACTTTAAAATTTTATTATCATTATCATTATTATTCTTTAAGATTTAATTACCATTATCATTATCATTATTATTATATTATTATTTTAAAAAGCAAAGAAATCAATGTATATGGAGTTTGCATTAGTATGCCTCTCTAAGAGTGACTGTGCTAAAGTTTTAATTATGAAACCTACTTTACAATGATATAGATCTTAGCAACTGATAGTTAAGGTTGGAAATAGTTACTCCATCGGTGTTAATTTTTCAAATCAGCGCATGTAAAATATACAAATAATACATATATTTATTTTACACCTCATAGAGTGAAATAAGAGTATATTTATTTGTTCACATTTAAAATGTAGGTTGTATAAAAATATAACATGTATTAGAATTCATGTCACGTTAATTCATACACTCTATTTTTATTATGTTAATATAAATAATATATTTGTCAATAGTAATATTGTGTATTGTCTATTAACACATAATATGCTGTCAATATGGTGCAAAATTTTATAGTTTAGTACAGCAATCACCACCATAAATAATTGATGGTTGAAAGTATTTTTTGGATGAATTAATATTTGTTCTTGCCCTTTGTTAAACTCTATGGGAAAAATGTGAATTTCACCTCTCTCCCTCTCTCTCTCTATATATATATATATATATATATATGATAAACTGTTTTTCTAGTCCCGTAACTGGACCTCTTTATCATTTTAGTCCCGTAAGTGGAGCCTGTCGCAAACTAGTCCCATAAGTAAAAAAATTTCACTGTTTTAGTCCTCCGACGCCGGAGATGACCGCGTGGCTCGCTGGAGGCGGACACGTGGATTTTTTTTATTTTTTTTCATTTTTTTAATTTTTTTTTAAAATTTATTTTTTATTTTTTTAATTTTATTTGTATTTTTTTATTTTTTTTATTTAGTTCAATTAAAAAAATTAAAAATTTAAAGAAAAAATAATAATAAATCCACGTGTCCGCCAGGTGTCGCTGACCTGGGGGGACACCTGGTGGACACGTCACCTCCGGCAAGCCACACGGGCGTCTCCAGCGCCGAAGGACTAAAACAACAAAAAATTTTCACTTATGGGACTAGTTTGTGATATGCTCCACTTACGGGACTAAAATGATAAAGAGGTCCAGTTACGGGACTAAAAAAACAGTTTACCCGTATATATATTTTATTATCGAAGTTGATACTCTAATGAAGATGTTGATAATCAATGTGAAGTAAGAATAAATGTTGAGATTTGATATGGTTCGATTGAATTTCATTTTATTGATGATGAAATGTGTTTGGCTGTAAAATTGAGATTTTCTAATAAGGAATAATGTAATGAGAAAAAAAAATTAATATGATTTATTTATAATTAATAGCTATGTAGTATATAATAAAAATATAAAAAAATTGCAAAAAAATATTAATATATTGTGTATAATAGTAATATAATTTACATTAAAAAATATATATTTTATAAAAAAAATATTTGTAAAATTAGTATCATTATTTTATTTATAAATAAATAATATAGTAAATACTAATAAACCGTCCATCAAACTCTTTTGCGTCTGTTTGTTTTTTGGATTTTAAATTTGAATTTTTTTATTAATATAAAATTAAATTTAAATAATTATTTGATGCTATATAAATAAATATTAATATTATATTTTAAATATAAAATAAATTTATAATATAATATAAAAAATAAAAATAATTATTTAATATTTTTGAAAAAAAAGAAAATATATTAATAGTAAAAAAGTGCTCTAAAACCCATAAAATAACACGACCTTTATTATTCTTCTTCTTCTTCCCTTTTTCATTAATTTTTCTTCCTTCTTCATCTTTCCTCATCCTTCATCTTTCTCCTCCTTCATTTTTCGTTCTTATTTCCATCTTCCTTCTTCTGTGCCGCCGGGACGACACTCGCCGTCGCCGCCGATCGATTCTCCGGTTTGTTTTTTTCCCTTTTTTTGTCGTATTCTCCCTCTGCTGCTCCGGTACTTCCACCACTGCTGAAGGAAATAGAGAGGGAACGGAACAGTTACCATCACAATTGGAGGCTGCTCGCTGGTCGGCGTGTTTTTCTTCCCGCTGTGTTTTCCGGTGGCCGTTCACGATCGTGAACCTCCGCGAAGATTCCTCCTTCAACCACCGGAATCGCGGAGAAAACTGATTCTCCTTGAGCGAACCTCGGCGATAAGGACGACGTATTAGAAGAAAATATTTTCTTCTCGCCTACGGTTTCAATTCAAGTCGGGTACGAAGTGATCGTTCAATTTCATTCTGCAAATACACAGAGACACCTGCGGCTACAAGTAGACAGGAGCAGAATTTTTGGCTACATTATATGCCTTTAGATCATTTTTCTCCTGTCATGCTGTTTTTATAATTTCTAGCATATTATAATGCTCCATCCATTTTATTTTGGATGCGTATACTTATGGTCGTCTTAGCCGTTGATGGTCTTTGATTTGTTTTAACAGTATCTGTGATGAATATCCTTGATCGCTAATATTTCCTGCTCGATTGTGGGATACGATTACAATGATCTTCGTATACTATTATTGTGAACTTACAAATTCACTGAGATAGGAATATTGATTGATTTTCGACACTTACAAGGATAGTAAATTTCATGTAATCTTGATTGTTTATATATATTTTTCATTATTATATTATATCTCATGTATAATGTGGCTTTTGCTCTACCAAAATTAGAGAGTACTGTATAATGTATGGTGTAAAATGTTGATTTACATCTTATGGTAATTATGTTCTTTTTCCATGTGATTGTGAGTCTAAAGGCTGAGTTATGTTGCTTGGCTTTGTTTTTTCTCTTGCCTTTTTTGTTTTTTCAAATCTAAATTTACTGGTGCTTGTTTTTCTTTTTAGTTGTTAGCTAACCTTCTGTCTGTTTATTTGTTTAGTAGATATTGTATGGCCTAGATGTCTCATAGGAGAGAAAGGATGAAAGACATCAATGTGGGTCTAATGGCTGAATTATGTTATTGTGCTTTGTTGTCTCTCTTACCCTTTTTTCTTATCTAAAGTTACTGCTGATTCACTTTTTGTTTTTAATTGTTGACTAATATTCAGCCTGTTTTTATCTTTCTAGTAATTTTTATGTACCCAAGATGTCACATAGGAGAGAAGGGGTGAAAGACACCAGCCATTTATCCCTGGAAGATTTAAAACACAATTATTTTAGAGAACTTAGAGACAAGAAAGTCAAGATCAGAAGTTCTGGGAAGTATGTTTTCTGTCCTTATTGTCGAGATAACAGGAGAGAGTATGATTTCTCTGAGTTAGAAAGGCATGCTTCTCGAATTGCTCGAGAGTCAAAAAGTGCAAGCTTCAATGATAAAGCTAGACATCTAGCACTGCTCAAGTATTTGAGTTGGTATGAGCCGACGCAGATGAAGTCACAGGAATGTCCTGAGTCTGTAGATGCTTTTTCAAGTGATCAAAATAAACAGAAATTAAGTATAGCAACCAAGTTTCATGATGGGGTAACCAGTGAAACAAAAAGAAAGAAGCCCACTGACAAACCAGTTGAATATGTAAATGTTGTAGAAGTCAAGGCTACTGGCAGCACTGTTGAGCCTGATGAATCACTGACAAAGATAGGTAGGGATGCACATTCTGCTGTGAATGAACTGGACAGCCAACCTGGAGAAAACATTAATGAACCGGTCAAAGTTAGTGAGAATGCCAGAGATACTGGGAAAAAAATACGTGAAAAAAGTTTCAAGCATGACTTGAAAAAGGAATCACTTTCAACTAGATGGAATTCTTCTCGTAGAAGGCATGATGAGCTTATTGTTTGGCCTTGGACAGGCATTCTTGCTAACATTCCTATTCAAAAGATAGATGGAAAGTATGTGGGTGAAGGCGGTCGAAAACTGCGAGAGGAGTTGGTTAGCCGAGGATTCAATCCTCTAAAGGTGCATCCACTATGGGATATCTATGGTCACTCAGGGTTTGCAATTATTGAATTCAACAAAGATTGGGAAGGATTCGAGCATGCTATGGCATTTGAGAAGGCTTTTGAAATTGACCAACATGGGAAAGCTAATTGGAGAAAAGCTAGAAATAAAGGAGATAAGCTGTATGGTTGGCTTGCCCATGAAGAAGATTATTGGTCCAGGGGTCCTATTGGCAAACACCTCCAAAAGAATGGCGATCTTAAAACCTTATCTGAAATAGAAATGGAAGATAACAGGAAAAACGTGACCCTTGTAAGCAATTTAGAAAATGCATTGTCATCAAAGCAGATGAAATGTGAAGAGATAACAGAGAAAATTAGCAAAACTGAACTTTGTATGGAAAAAGCTATCTCAGAAAAAGAAGAGATGATTGCGAGCTACTACAAAGGTAAGACAAAAAATTTCAGATCCACTATTCCGGACATTCTTTTTTAATTCTTCGTTAAGATGCATGACAATTAAACAAAGGAATAATTTGATCTGCTGAGAAGAATGCAGTCTACCATGTACCAACTATCTCTGTTTCGTTTTCTGTGAAAAGAGATGCAGGATATGCTGGTGGATGCTTCTGAATTGCTTCGAAAAACTTTGGAAGAGCATAGTGAAAGCCAAGCACAGTTGGAGGCTCAGAGAGAAGAGCTAAAACTGAGGGAGAGAGAGCTGAAACAACGTCGAGCCTGGAATGACAGTGAGAAGAGAAAGCTTGAGAAGCAAAAGACAATGGTAATTGTCTTAAAAAAAATTTCTCATTCTTTATGTCAGACATTCACTCAAACTTCCTGGAGGCAACTTTGGCCACCTGTAAAATGAAGGCTTTTAAGTATTTAACCTTGGTAATTGTTTTGAATCATAACATTGATCAAGGTTTTGATGGTTATTCAGGAATTTGAATTAATAATTTTTCACTTCTAGAGAAAATTCTTTAAGAAGACGATGACAAGATGAGTTTTGCAGAATGCGAGGGCTATTATGGAGCAAAGGATTGCTGACGAAAAAATGTTGAAACTAGCTGAGGCACAAAAGGTTTGTAATCTAATCCATCTTTTTGTAGAACCATCTACTGAAGGGCACTATTTCATAATTCTCTGACCCTGCTTTTTGTTAAATGTTACTTTTCCATAATGACAGAGGGAGAAGGAATCTGTTATGGGAACGATCATTAGACTCGAAGGAGAGCTTGACAAAAAACAAGCCATGCAGTTGGAGATAGAGAGGCTGAGAGGCGATTTAGAGGTGCGGAAGCACATGAGTGATGAAAATACAGAAGATAAGGAGAAGGTGGAGGCACTCGAAAAGGAGCTGAAGGAAAAAGAAGAAGAATCTAATGATCTTGATTTGCTGACACAAACACTTATAGTAAAAGAGAGGAGAGCAAATGATGAGCTGCAGGGTGCTCGTAAAGAGTTAATGCATGTGAGTTTTTTAACACTCATTTACCATAGAAAGCATAGGTATTGAGGGCATCATGATCATTATTGTTATTGTTGGTTGGCTCCATAATATATAAATAAATAAATGCGTATATTTCTTTAAGCTTAATCTTTTAGGTAAAATGATTATTTAACAAGGTATAAAAACCATAGGTATCCATATTGGGTATATTGATCCTGGTTAAAATTTGATTTCAAGATGGATATCATTTCGAGGAAAAGTGTTAAGTGTTGTTCCATATGGATAAATGTTAGGAGCTCCCCTTTATTTATAAAGATGAAGGACAATTTCTCTTATCATAAATTGGTTTTGAGATGGAGCTCCGGATTCCTTCTTAATATGATACCAGAGTCGGGATGGTCATTTAAAAATTATTATTATTATTATTATTATTATTATTATTATTATTATTATTATTATTATTATTATTATTATTATTTTATTGTTGTTATTGTTCTCTACCCCCAACCCACACTTTTTATTGCTGAATTTAGGGTTTCGTCAGTTTTAGCATTACGCATCTTAGAGCTGATCTGCCTTATATGGTTTTGCAACTCATATTATTTGTTCTTAGTTATTAATTACATTATTGAGTCAGAAGTGGCTTGCAACTCATATTATTGTTTTCTTAGTTATTTTTTCATAGTTTCAAAGACGCCTTCAAAATAACTCCTTCAACCCCATTTAGTGTATACATACTCAGGCAGGCATGCTGTATAAAAGTTAATTGAAAGATACAATGGACTACGAATATTTTTCTTAACTGCCAGAATTAGCAGGTTGTGATGCAATGTTATATCTATAGTTAGAGTGCCTTTTTTGGATAAGATTTATTTAAATAATAAGAAAACAAACAAAATTTGAAGTGATTGAAGATTGAAATACAAATGCAAAATTCATTTTGTTTGAATAGCCAGAGGAATAGATGAAAAATGGATGTTGAGAAATTCTTCTATTAACCGGAATCGTTTGTATCTTATCTGTAGACATCAACTTCAATGTGCAGAAGATTTTTAAGTTCTTAAAGTCAGCTATGGAGACAACAAATTTTAAAACTAAAGCAAATGATGTTATGATCATGTAGCATCCGATGGTGCTGGCTGTTTGAGAATGTACCCTAATTTATAGCACTTTCAAGTTCAACTAATTGAAGAATATACTTCTTTTCTCTGTAGAATTTAAATGGTACCCGGGGAAACATCTGTGTCAAGAGGATGGGTGAACTCGAGGGAAAACCATTCATCGAAGCTGCTAAGAGGAACTATGCTGGTGAAGATGTTCCCGAAAAAGCAATGGAGCTATGTTCAAAGTGGGAAGATTACCTCAGGGATCCCAACTGGCATCCCTTTAAGGTCATCATGGTTGGAGATGCTGCGAAGGTTTGCTTTTTGTTCTGCACATCATTGATTCCTTAAGCGATCTTTTATATTCTTGCTAGAAATTGTCATTAGTTAGCACCATGAATTTTGTCTCAGGCAGCTAGCATGTTTGAATTTTCTACTCCTTTTTTTTTTTTTTTTAAGTTATTTCCCTCTTCCACTTCTTTTCTAGACTAAGTTGGTCTTCATTTTACATCTTGGTTTCCTTGCTATGATTTTGAACCACCAGTTCGTGAAATGTCTGCTTTTATATGTTAGAAGCTTGTACTACATACAGAGTTACACATGCAATTCGGCTATGCTACTGTAGTAGGGCCTGCTTATCTTATTTTCTTAGTTTTGCTTGACTGGAACATTTTTCTCCTACCATCGCCGGGTAAAAATGCATCAGGCTTCATTAATACTAACAGATAAGTACAATTTTTAAATGATAATTATAAGCAGGCATACCTACATTTTCTTTTAACTCAAAATGTGCAAAATCATATAGGGTGTGTTTGTTTGGGAGTTTTGAATATGAGTAGTTGTTTGATGTGATATAAATAAGAATTGATGTGATGTTTTGAATGTAAAATTAATTTTCAGTGTAATATAAAAAAATAAAAAATAAGTAATTGATTCGATATTTTCTAGGAAAAAAAATTTGTGAATAGAAGGAATAAAATGAAATCTCTCAAACGAACTCACCCATAGTATTCATTGGACAATATGGACCTTCTTCTTCATCCCTTTTTGGTTTTTTCTAATACTGTATATCATTTATGACATCCAAAATGTAGAATACATGTAACTTGTTTCCTTGTTGAAGGGTATCCATTGGAATCCAAATAGTTTCAAAATCTTTTAGCAAATTAACTTGAAGACTCTGGCCAAATTTGATTCCTAATTAGTGGTTCTGAATTCTATTTCCTTTGGAATTGAATTCTGAAATTAATATTTTACCTAATTCACTTATTTATTATTTTATTTTATTTTTCAAAAAGCGTATTTGATTGTACGTTGGGACATAATTTGTTGATGCTCGTGGGCCAGGTGGACTAACGGACATTTTGTCATATGAGTTGGGTTTTCTCGAATATTGGTGTGGTCGGTTGTTATATTTTAGACATTAAATGCAAAATTGATTGTTTCACTTTTAGATGCACAAACTAAATTCATATGGAACTAACCATCCGGTTGAGTTTTAAATGCTTATATCCATATTGAAAGTAGAAAGATTTGAATGCTCAATATCCACGTATGGTGTTGCTTGTGCTGTCATTTTTTCCATATTGGTATCCCCCTGAGTTACTGTCCACACCCGGCTGCCGAATTTACTGGTTGACTTCTTGGGGCCATGCAATTGATATCATACCATATTTCTTCCATGAAATTATTTTACTTTTCCCAAAAACAATTCTGATTTCTGATTTCTTCACCCCCAATGCCATCCATATTTCTATTACATGAAAATTTTGTGTAAATGGTCAGGAAATACTCAACGAAGAAGATGACAAGTTGAAGGAACTGAAGTCTGAATTAGGTGATGAAGTGTACACGGCAGTGACAACGGGGCTTCTGGAACTGAATGAATACAACCCAAGTGGGAGGTACCCAATACCTGAGCTGTGGAATAGCAGTCAAAGCCGAAAGGCCTCACTAAAGGAGGGCATTGAATATATGCTCAAACAGTGGAAGGTTTGCAGAGCTAAGCGCCGCAGGAACTGAAAGGCGACAAATAGTTAAGCAATTTCAATCACCACCATAAAATTTGCATATTTCTATAGTTCGCTATATAATTTTGTTATATGGTGCAGACTTGTTGCTTGTATTCTGGCTGCCTGGATGGCTCGATTTCGCGTATGTTTCTCTCTGGTTTGGCTGTCTCTGTTTCCGGGTAACCCTCCTGCCTTCCTGTTCTTAGATTTTCTATTACATATTCACAGTGACTTAACTCAGAATTCGACTGACTGATTGAGTAAGTTAGAATGGATTTCTACTATGGTGGTATATACTTGTTTTGTTTTTGTCCATTGGATGGATCTGTTAATCTGTTTGGACTTTAGATCTTTATTTTATGAACTCAGCTGGTTAATTTTCTTACAATCGTGGCTAATTACGATTCAACCTAAGTTTGCAAATTCTTGCCACTACGGGTAAGGTTCAACTTTGTTGATGGCAATCGTAGTTGGAGGCTGTTAAAGTGATGAATTTTAACAATCATCCAATGTTGATGGATAATACATATTTCCTTTGTCCACAAAATGTATGATCATTTGTGTTGGACATGAGTTCTAATAAATATAATATTACCTCTGTCCGGTTCTAAGGGTCTCGTTTACTTTTTGCATGTTGATCTTTGAATATTAATTAATATATCAAAATATAGTACAAATTAAAAAAGAAATTGCAAAAATATTTTTATTAGTGTTTTATAATACTAATAGAAGGATATTTGTACAAAAAATTATACAAATATAATGATATTTTTACACATAAATGTGACCTTAGAGGCGGACAGAGATAATATTATATTAGTTGATTTTGACATAAATTAGGAGTATTTTGAAAAATATATGAGTAAGTTAACAAGGTAAGATAATACTTTTGGTAAATTGTGTATGATCATTTGTATTGGACATGAGTTTTAAAAACCTCCAAGTATCTTTATAGTACAAGGTTATGTACTTTTATGTATTGAATGTGTTTATTTGGTAGTTTTAGTTTGAGATATATATTTTTATATTAGGGATAAGAAAGTGTGAAGATAATATAAAAAGTAATATTTTATATAAAAATTATTGATATTTTATAAATGTGTAAAATATATTGATATTGGGTACAGATCTAATGTTTTTTTGCTGATTTAATTCAATCAAAATATATAATAAAAGTATACAATATGTATTTTTACATTCCACAATATATGTTATAACAAAACATATGTTTGTTTTATAATAAAATATATGCATATAATATGTCCCAATACAATAGTTTTGTTTATCATTTTGGTTTGTCCTAAAACAATACTCTCATTTTCATAAATAAACATATTACTATAATAACTTTTTATTACATGTGTATATTGAGTAGCTTAGGATCCACCACCGTAAATATATGTTGTATATTGTATAAGTATATGCATAAAAATTATCTTTATATTTGTATATTTTTTTATACAAATATCATTATATTTGTACTATATTTTGATATAATAATTAATATTCAAATATTAATATGGAAAAAAAAAACAAATATAAATTTTGTAAATGGATGGAGGTACTATAATTTTTTTTTTTCTTTTTTGTAGTATTAATCGGTTGAGTGAATGCACATGTTATTCTTGGTTATTGCAAGCTGATAAAATGTTATTTAAATATTTATTTTATTATTTTTAAATATTTTAAGGAGAAAAACATATCTTTATAAAAAAGCAACAATATGTTTTAGTAACAGTAAAAATTTGAAATAAACACACATGCTTTATCATTATTTTAACCAATATGGATCTAAATTATATAAGATATTTTCTTCAAAATATATCATACTTGATGGGATAATCTGTCACAATTAGCCCAATATAGATCTAAATTATATAAGATATTTTCCTCAAAATATATCATACTTGGTGGAATCATCAGTCACAAGTAGCCCCCAGTTAGTCGCATGGTGAGATGTATTTTAATTATTTTATTTTGCAAGATAAAATTGATTATTTGCAATTTAGTCCCTAATTGCAATTCAATCCATGCATCTCAAAAAGGGCTGGATTGGATGAGAGAACAACATCGGTGCCCGGACGAAACTGGAGTTGGAAACAAATTGTCGAAGTGATGAGGTGGATTTTGAAATATATGAATGGAATTGCAATTAGGGACTAAATGGCAAATAATTAATTTTATCTTTAAAACAAAAAATTAAAATATATCCCACCACGCATCAGTTCCTTAACGGATGAAACAGAGAAAATGAGGGCTAATTGTGACTGACGATCGCACCTGATCATACTTGGCATCGGTCTTTAAATTGAGTGTTTTTTTTTTTTTTTTAATTTGAATTAAAATAGTTATTTAATATGATATAAATATAAGTTGAATTTTATATTTTGAATTTAAATTAAATTTTAGTATAATATAATAAATAAATAAATATTTAAATTTAATACTTTTTAGGAGAAAAAAATTAGAATAGTAAAATTATTACAAAAATCTTTCAAGTTAACACATCAATTAAATTCAGTAATTATTTTATTAAAAAAATAAAATATAACACAAAAATAAACACTGTTTATATATATATATTATGACGTGAGAATCTGCGGCCTCGAGAGTTTGAACTTATGACCCCACTATCACGAATTTACACCCGTAATACTAGATTATTCCTTGGGGACTCTATCTCTATTTAATTTAACTAGTTGATATTTAAATATTAATTATTATATCAAAATAGAGTACAAATTAAAAAAAAATGCAAAAATACTTAAATTAGTATCTTATTATACTAATAGAATAGAAGAACATTTGTACAAAAAATTATATAAATATAAGGATATTTTTAATGTCAAGTACAATGACACAAAAAATAAATGTAATCCGTAGAGGCAGACGGAGAGAGTATATATATTTGTGCATATATTATATGCACAAATATATGCATATTTATTTAAAAAATTCACGTCAATATTTAATGTTAGATATTGTCAATGACTACTTATTAGAACTATTTTTATAAAAATTTTACTTGAATGACTACACAACTATAAATTCATTTAGTCTAACCTTAGAGTGTATTTTCACCAAAAAAATATATATACATATTTTTAAAAAAATAAATTAATATATTACACATATTTATTAGTTTTATATTACTATATAATTCTCTACACCTCGTATAATCAAAAAAGTTTCTTAAAAAAAAATAAAAATTCTTTCAAATTATTTCACAAGACTAGACACACCCAAGTTTTAAAACTTTTGAAATGAAAATTTTATTATATTTTTTTTATAAAAAGTAAATATTGAAAGTAATATTTAAATATATATATATATAATTACATCATAAAAAAATTAATAATAATCAAATAGGACAAACCCCAAGTTTATTTTTGTAAAAACATATTTCATCTGTCTCAATTCAAAATATCATTTTTATAATTTTTATTCGTATAACTCAATGTATCTATTTGCTATTTTAGTAAAATTAATCATATGCTAAAAATAGTGTATCAATCTAAAATTTATTGAATGTTAATGAATTGTTATAATTGAGTGTATTCAATAAATCTATTGATGTATTCAATATAGAATTTTAAAAGTCCTAATTTTGGTGTATTCTAATAATCCATGAGTTTAAAAATCCATATATTTTGTTGGATTCTTTTGTAAAATTATTGATAAGTTATATTGTATAAATTTTTTTATTATCATATGACATTTCTATGGATTTTAAAAATTTTAAACAAGTAAAAATACATATTATTTTCTTTAGATCATTAATAGCTATTTATTATTTAATATGTATTTAATATTTTATTATAATAATATCAGTAAGATAAGAAAAATTTAGATATAAAATACTACGAACTATATATATTTAAATTAACAAAGTACATTTGCTCAAATTATTCAAATCAAAATTATCAGTTTCAAAAATTTGAAAGATCAAATTAAATTAAACCTACCACAATTTTAATTTGGTTAAAAAATTACTGATTTTGATTTAAACCGTAAGTTTATCTTTATTCTTTTTTAATCCTTTTATTTTTTAAGTTTCAATAAATAAAAAATAAAAAGTTTTAATTTTAATGTGATTTTATTTAAAAATATATTTTATTGTGTAAAAAATTATGTAAATAATAATAACAATAATTAGCATATTGTTACTAGATAAAAATTAATTAGCATAATAATTTTCATAAGTAGTTAAATTGAATATTAAATTAAGAATAAAAATTTAATAATAATAAGTACATTATTTGAGAACTAATGTACTCCCTTCCCACAATCCCTTACTAAGGTGTTATATTTATATAATTTTTTTTTTTTTTGTACAAACGACATTATATTAGTATCATAAACACTAATAGAAGTATTAATACATCACGCAAAAAGTAAATAAATATTTAGTTACGAGTCATGAGAGTATATTTAATCCACAATTCTATAAATTCTAATAAAATCCATGTGAATGAATAAATAATTCATTCAAATATATCAAAATTCATATAAATCAATAAACAAAATCATCCAAACTCTAAATAGATTCTATTAAATTTCTAAATCCAAACTATTTAAAATCCAAACAAATTCACTAAAATCCTAATTAAATATGCATCTAATACCAAACATACTTGTAACTTTTATATAAATTACAAACATGCATACAATTAATTTATACAATTAATTTATACATAGGGTCAAAAATATCAATTTTTTTTTTTTTCACAATTTCATTAACTAATAAAATATTACTCCATTCGTCTGACTTAAAGGTCACATTCATTTTTTGCATATTAAATTTTGAATATTAATTATTATATAAAAATATAGTCCAAATCAAATGAAAATGACAAAAAAAAAATATACTTTAGTACCTTATAATAGTAATATAAAAACATTTTTTGGTGAAAGAATTATTTTTTTAATCTAATACAAAATTCCAAATAACCATTTGGAGTGCAAAGGAGGAAGTATAATTCTTTATTTATTTATATTTTTAAGAAAAAATCCATTACACCGAACATGCAATACCAATACAATATGGAATAGGTGAAATTAGTCATTGTGTAAATTACTACTTAAGCTACAATTAGAGAGTAAGGTATCTGTCAAACACACATACAAACAAAATAAAATAAAATAAAATAATACCCACTTTATACTTATTATTATACATAAATATAATTCCCAAAGTTTCAGCACAGAAAAGAGCAAAACCCTTTTTGGCCATTAGAACATCACTACTGAGAGAAAAACTTCAAATTTAAAATGTCACCACAATTACCTGCATTCGTTCATTCCTTTCCACACATTTGAGCAACATCTCATTCTCATTCACCTTCACCTATCGCATGACAAAAACATTAAATAACAATTCAGAAATACTACTGTGTGTTGCATATATAATAACCCAATGGATTTATCATGAATGCTTCATCATTCTAAACACACACACACACACACATATATATATATATATATATATACACACACAAGTTCAGCAAGCCCTATTTTGTGAACCATGTGTGGCAGGTGGACCTGGAGGCGTTACCTCACGGTCACAAGTTTACTTCCCACGCCATCAGGCCATCTCTTACGGCACCCTTTTTTCCTTTTTATCGTCCCACAAAAGATGACTCATTTATATCTTTAGTAAATTTATTCATAAACCAATATTTCTAACCTCTCATAAGTAAGAGTCACTCAAAACCAATTTAATTAAATTTCTAACCTTTTATAAGTAAAACTTACTCAAAACACTTTTATTTCTATCTCTCTCCTCAATAAATATATATTTTCATTCATATATAACTCTAAATTTTTTATAAAATTATTTTTAAGTTAATTATAAATAAATAAATATTTTTATTTATTTGTAATATATAAAATTTTATTATCTGCAAAATGAGATCAAATATATATTTTATTAGGATATAATACTAAAAATATTTAAAATACCAACAATACTACTCATAAAAAAATAATAACATAATACAATAACTTATTATTAATAAGTTATTAATCTATACTACCTAAATAATTGTGTCCCTAACTAAAAGGGTCATCATATACGGGACAGAGGGAGTATATCATATATTAGGTGAAATTTTGAGTGAAAAAATAGTGTTTTGTCCATATTTCCCAAAATGATCAGAAATTCAGGAAGAAACACAACAATCCAAGTACTTTAGAATTTCTATTGACAGAATGAGCAACACTTACAAACCATCTGCAATTCAGGTGTGCAGGTAATTGGCTGCCATCAGAAGCTCCAATGTCAGCTCTGGTTCAATATGGAACTCGGTTTCCTTGCCACTACAAAGTACACAGCCCACCCAAACTGTCAGGACAAAGAACTTGTACTAAATGATATAGAGTTACAATTATTGTTTTGTTTTCCTCATCACCAATTATAATAACTCCATAATCACATGAACCGGAATGAACATATTTGTTTTGTTGCAAATATGGCTTTATTTCTTTCATGTTCAAATCTATCTGAAGAAATTTGGATAGGTTGACATCTTAATTTAACTAAACCTCTCTGTCAAAAGCAAATGCATTAAAATTTTACAAAGATAAAATGGGTTTTTATAATTTTGCAACCATGCATGGTGCTACTTTGATTGAAAGGAAAGTGTGCTAAAAAAATAAATTAAAATAATTATGCCCTATAATCAATTTGTAAGGAACATTAAAGCGTTTGGGTTGAGTGGAAAGCCATTGTTACAATAGGTTCATGCAGTTATCATCATGATTTATAATCTTATTCAAAAGAAATTTTCACAAAGGAAGACTACTCTCTAGACTAGCCATAAGGAGAAATGGTCGTGAAGCACAGGTTTCATAATCCTGTAGAAGAGTCCTTTAGACTCTTGTGTAAAATGTTTTTACAAGAGTTTACATCTAACTTACTGAGGTTATTAGAGAACATTGAAACTACAACAATCTTTTCATATTGTGGTTTGAAATTAATTTGAAATGAGTATTGATTTGAATTTTTGCTTAAATAGTATTTTGATGTGATGTTATGTAAGAGAAAATGACTTATTTTTATTGGAAACCGTACGAGGAGAATAGTGTCGATTTCGGATTGAAATCACAACCAAACACAAAGCAAAAGAATCTTCAACCAAGAAATTTTCAATTTTTACTAATGTTGCTATAATTGTTCAAAAGAAGAACAAAAGAGTGTTAATATGAATGTGAATACTAAAAATATAGATAACAAAAGTGACAAGAAAATTATACTGTTGCACATGAAGTGCCTCCAGCTCCAAGCATATTTACCGCAAATTATGATGCTGGGACTGACATGTTTTTTTTATGTTGCCAGATGTTCTCTGTTGCAAAAAAACATTGCACTCCATGGCTATGATAGATAGCTTGTAAAAGAAAATAAAGAATTTTAATGAACTATACTGACATTTGAAGGGTGTGTTTGTTTGGGGGTTTGGATTTTGAGTTGGGATTTGAATAGTAAAAATTTTGAATTTGAATAGTTGTATGATGTAATATAAATAGGTGTTGATGTGATGTTTTGAATGTAAAATTGATTTTTAGTATAATATAAAAAATAAAAAATAGGTGTTTGATTTGATGTTTTTGGGGGAAAAAAATTGGATGAATAGTAAGAATTTTGCAAAATCTTGCAAACAAACATACCTGAAGTGTATTCCAAATTCAATTCAACCAATAAACTATTACAGGACATGACTTTTGCACCTATTTTCAGACCTTTATCAAACTAATACTCAACAAAAATATTTCACTGAAGTAAAGTAGCACTTTACTGCTTGGAGCTTCTATTCTTTCTAATTGCTATTTGAGTCCTGTCCCCCTAAATGTTGTCATTCGAAGAACTGCTATTTGAAGATTTATTACTACAATTGATTTACGAACACATAGTTTCTTAACAACTCTTGAAATTAAGTGTTGAACTAGAAGGAACCTGTTCAAGTTAGAACCAAAATCAAGAAAATGGTGCAGAAGTCACAGAAGAACCATAAACAAAAGTCCTGATTCCACAATTTATAGCTCCTACACAGTTTTGTTAATCATGTTTAGATTAAGTTGACAGAAAGAATATGTTCTTCTTCTGTGTTTTATTACTCATAGTGTTAGATTTTATATTCCCATCGCTGTAAATGTAGCACAACACAGGGCCAGTGCCATGCTGTAGTGCACTTCACACTATAACCATTGATATATTCTAAATACATAATACACATAGGTCCACAATCAGTATAACACACTTTCAACATACCGCCAACTGTCTACCGTAAGAACATAACTATATAAGTATAATACATGAACAAGATTGAACTTCAATATACCATTATAAAACTTTGGCTTTTTTTCTCAATATATTTACTATTCAATCTCTTAATTTCTCTCCAAAAACAGCACATCCAACACCTGTGTTCTATGAAAAACATCAGACCCAACAACTATTTTACCTCAAAAACATCAAAATAAAAAACACAAACACAAAAACAGAACACAAAGTAAACCTTGGTACAGTTTCTATTAAAACTTGGCACAGTGGCTGCAGGCTGAAATTACCTGGCAAGACTAGATAGTGCAGCGGGAGATTGAAGGAAGTGTGAAAGCCAAAAAAGAAGAGATGAAAAACAGGAGGGCACCATGGAAATGGAGCCTTTGGCGCACATCGCTGAATGAGTGCCTTGACATAGAAAACGGCACTTTACTACTACTACTACTACTTTAGATGAAGCATCTAATAACATCTAAAATAATAAACCTAAAGACACAAGGACTGACAGGATAAAAAATAAATAACTTTTTTCAAATGTTAAAAACAAATGTAAGTGTATTCAACTAGTACTAATACAAAACTCAAGTCATATTGCTCCCCATTGAGCTCAACAGACTCTTTTAGTCGTCGGCTATTTAGATCCTACCCTTTTCATAGAAGTGATGCTACCCATCCCAATCAGTGCTCCCCACCCTACTCTAGCTCCATCAATTTCCAATACACTATTATAATTTATTAAGAGGAATCACACTATTACTGCTCCAAACATCGCAGTTTCCTATATCCAATTATCAGTGTCAACCAATAGCTGCCAAAATCCTGAAGTGCATTAGCTAGCAACTCCAAGCATCCAATCTTAGCTTATCTCAGCTGCAACCCCAACCCCCTCATTTAACCATGATTCGTCATTTAATGTATCATCACATGCAATTAGTACAGAGTCAAAAGAAACTTAGAAGACGAGAGGTAATGTTTATTGTCACTTTACAGGGGATTCAAACCTGTGCAATTCGCCAATAATTAACTACATAGTACTAAGTAAGAAGGGCAAACCTTGCATATTGAAGAGACCAGTAAAAGTACTGGCAAATCTTCTCCAGAATGGTGGTACTTATCTCCGGAAATGTCACCTCCCCGTGTTCCGTCTCCGCAAAACTTCCTATGAATTATGATTGGCCATAAAAACACAAATTCCTCATACATTAACAAGATCACAACAAAATAAATTTCCTCATCTTCACAAAAAGTTTCACGTCCTTGAAACCAAAATCCAGCTCCAAATTCGAATAGTCATGGCACAAACAATTTCTAGAAATAACAAAATTAAATAATAACATATTATTATTACTATTACAATCATTATTAAGAAAATCCCTAAAGCCCTCCAAATAAGCAGTTCCTTGATTTGAGGTCAATTTTTGTTATCGGACTTTACTAACAGCATACCTGGAGAGGTGAGCATATTCCGGATGGTCTGCGAAACCATGGCAGCCTTCTTGTCGATGACAAATTCAAAGCCCTCGGCGCTGATCAGCTTCACAGTGTCTTCCTTCTTCATCTTGACCCCGATTGATCGACTAGTCACCGATCACAGCCTCTTCTCCCTCCGCTCTGAAGCAGGAGTCGAGTCGTCGGCCTTAAGGAAATTTAATGTGGGCCAGCAGATAGCCCATATTCTGGAAACTGAGCCCACTATATTGTAAAATTATGGTTTAATTTCTTTATTTATGTCATATAATAAATAATGATAAGTAGAAAACATATATATATATATATATATATATCCTAACACCTATATATATAACAAGTTGGAGAAATGGATACATAAAATGACCATCACATCCCTCGTAGTAAAAAGTTGTTTAGTTTTTATTTGTCTATTTTTGTTATTTTGCTATCATATTAAGTTCGAATTGTTATTTACATGGACATTTGTCCTTTTGAACAAACTTATTTTTTGTCTGATTTGAAACCCCTTCTTTTATCTCAACTTTATTTGTTAATTTTATATTTATATCCCCACCCTACATTGTTGACATATTCGTACTAGTATGGATATTTATATTTTTTTATTGTAATTTTAAAATTAAATTATAAATTATAAATATATCATTTATAAAGAAAATTTTATTAAATAATATAAAAAAATTGAAAGAAATTTCTAATTAAAAAAAAATAAAAATTTCACATATGTATGTTCCATATAGGTGGCTATATGTATTGCCACAGAGTTGCTGCCATCGAGTATCAACGACTGCTCATCGAATAATTTGTTGACGGCTACTTTAAAAATGAAATTTATAGAGCTGTTTACAGCTTTGCAAAACACCCTGTCCCTGGCATGTATGAATTCGACGAATCCGTACCGGGAGATGTGGCCCTACCGGTCGTGAAAGTTAGAATTGGTCGTCCAAAGAAAATTTGCCGCCGTGACGGGAACAGCGAGTGTGTTGACGGTAAAACTTCTTGAAATGGATTGATACTACTTGTTTGAAGTGTCATCGTCAAGGACACAATAGAAAAAGCTGTAAAAATGATCATCAATAGGTACATACTAGAACCGTTGACATATTGTGTACTGGGTTCATTATTTTTTTTTTTTTTTTGTTTAAGGTCAATTGCATTGACATATGAATTGCTGATATTTTCCGCCATCAAATTAGAAAAATTGATTCAAGGAGGGTCCATCTGGAAAGATGTCTAATGGCTGTAACCAGACAGAACATGTACATGCTAGAACTCATTTAAATTTCTATTTTTGGTGCCCCATAAATGTGTTGTTTATTATGTCGTTGCAATGTACTTCAAATTAGGAAAATATGTCGAATGAGACACTACTAAAAAAATGGTCTTTCGCCACGGCTTGACGGTTCGTTACAATAACATCGTAACAAATAATGGTTTTTGTTACGACAACTTCCGTTACAAAAAAATATTATCTTGGTCAACGTTTCTGGTTCTTTAATTACGCAAAATAATCCGTAACAAAAACGAAGTTGGTAGACTTTGTTCAAAATAACATTAGTTACGATTGTGCTTCGTAACAAATGGTGTATAAATTTATTTTTGAAATTATTCTTTTTAATTATATTAAAATAAATTTAAAGAAAAGGAAAAAAAAATGATTTTTATTAATAAAAAAATTATTTATTTTAATTATATTAAAATAAATTAAAAAAAACAAAAAACATATGCTTTTTATATCCTCAGTTATACAATATTCACACTTTCAAAAATTATTCCACTCATCTTCATAGACATTGCGACTTCGAAGCCCTACATCCTTCCGGTGAAATCGAAGGTGTTCGTCAGCCGTCACAGCTCACCACTGTTGAGTTGAGGTGCCACCACCAACTTATTTTGGTACTCGATATGTCCTTCGATTTTGTTGACCATCTGTTATGGTTGATTCGCTTATAGTTTTGAGAATAAAAAAGGTTCCCTATCCTTCGCCCTATGAGTCGAGCGCCGACAATGGTGTCATGACTTTTAATCGCCATCTCCAATGCCTCTTCAGGGACAATTGGTCACCTATCCCCTTGACGGCGAAGGTGTCCTCACCCTCCTAGCCCTATAAGTGTCATTTGTCCTCTCATTTGTTTCCCCATTTTTATGTACATTATTGTTCATTTTCATCGGTGTTGATGGTGTTGACTAGTTAGTTGAGTATGAAGTTCGGGTTAATTTGGTAGGTATTCTCTCCATCCCCAAACTTACCCTTCCGTAACTGCCTCTTCAGCTTGCACTCCACCTGCTCGATCAATTGCTCATTCGGCTAATTTCTTCCCCCTTGATCCAAAACCAACTCTATATATCTTCCGAGTTGATAAGATTGTAGGCTTCTTATTGGATAGCAAAATAAATCAGCTCGCTGCGGGCCTTTTTCTTACTTGTGATATGGCATCAAATTAAAGTCTTTTATTGAATTATATTTGTTACTCTCTTTATACATGTATTGTCTTCTAGCATTTTTCCTCTTTTCTTTAGTTCTTACAGGGTAGCTTCCATAGGTTTGAAATATAATATATATTTATTTTCTTGGAATAGGAGTTTGCTAAATTAAAGAAGAAGCTTTAGACCAGCAAAGCAAATTTGGAAAAGTTAAGATAAGAGAACGAGCATAAACATTTTTCTCTAAGTATTTTTACATCAGCCTTGTGAGTCAATTTTCAGCTTTAAATTGATTGTGGTTGATGATTCAATTAATCTATGTTCTGGTTTATTTATGTCTCATTCACCTGGCTTGTTTTATTTTGGTGTCTGCATTTTGTTTTGGTTGTTGGCCTTTGTTGCTCTTCTTGTTGTTTGTGTGTGGCAGTTGAGTCACTCTAGATTGTGAGAATTTTGGTGAGATGGTTGTGATTTGTGTTCGATTTGGTTGTGATCATTCTTGGAAAGTGTTGGTTTCATGCATATATCTTGGGTGGTAGTAACCTCAGTTTTGAGTTGCCAATGACTTCTGTTTATTTTATTTTGGTGCTTCTTGAAGTCATGGAGTTGGAGGCTGATATTGGTGTATGGTAGTTCGTCTTTGATCGAATAGGTTGGTGCATGGGCAAGTTATTCAAATCAGATTTTGATTGACAGTCATCCAGGTAACTGAGTAGTGCGAGGGGTGTGCAGAGTTGGTGTTGGCAGCATGGTTTTTCGGGTGTGCAACATTGAAGGAAGAATCTTGGATTCTTATGCATCCATTTGATATTCCACTTCATTATTTTTTTATCTAGACTGGTATTCTCCTCAACTCTGAGTTGCTGGTGACTTTTGTTTTATTTGATTTTGATGCTTCTTTAAGTCATGGAATTGGAGGCTGGATTGATCCAAGCAGTCCATTATTTGATTTGTTGTTTCCTTTGGCAGATGCAGTGGAAGTTCATCTCTGGTTTTGATATTGTGAGTTTAGTTCTCATCATGGGATTTCATCTATAGTTTTGATTCTTGGAGGTAGATTTTTTTATTGTTGGCTTTGCATTGAGGATTGAACATATCAGGTGTGATCTTTGGTTGATTCTTCCTTTTGGTTGGTGGCTTGTTATATCCTTGCGCTTGAGTTTGCGGTTTGGAGATCATGGATTGGATGATTGGTGCAATATTGGTTATAGGAGATATTTATTCTCAAGGAGTGGGTTTGTTGTTAATCTAGTCTAGTTGTGGGAGGTTGGTATGGCTTGAGTTGCCGAATTGCTTGGGATTTTATGGTTTTTGTAATCATGTTTAGGCTTTGGATGGTTGGATTTGGTAGGTTTCTTTTAGTTTGGGTCTGTGCGTTCCTATGTATATATAAGATATATAGATAATTTTGTGATATATATATTTAGTATATATTGGTTTAATTAAAGAGGTTCTTTAAAAAAAAATATCTTTTATATTCATTCCATCCAATTTCTTTCATTTTTAAATTTTATTTTCTCCAATTGAATGTTTGATATAGTTGTACGGTAGGGTAATATGTTTAAGTGGGCCGAGGAGTTTTTCTTGTTTTTCTACTTGTCACCTATTGTTGTGTTTTCAATTATATATCTTTTTAATGAAATGTAGTAGCTTGATTGTTTAACCTTCATTCTGTCCTAGTTTTTTTGTTCATATTTTTTATGATTTAGAAGGTAGGAATCTTTCGGATGTATGTTTAGTGTTGGATGAGCTACCATCATGCTTGAATTTATGTTGATTAATATCAGAATATGACAAACGTGTTTTTCCATCATTTATGTAAGTACTTCGATGATAAGATACACATAGATTTTAAGCATATAGGAGCTGATAACATCCTCATGGATGTTCTAGTTATGATAGGTAAACTAAAAATTTCAATGTTTTATGTTCTTTTTTGTATTTAAATATGCTTATCCATATAGATCTTGGTTTAATGGATTATGTGCGAAACTTACATTGAATAGAAGAACTCAAGTACGTGGCACAAAATATTTTCCATTCTTTTCTCATAATTTTATTAGTGTTGTATGTGTTCTTTTATCAAATGTGAATGAATTGAGAAGTGTCACATTCTCGCTTTCAGATCGAGGGGTCAGTTGCACTCATAAAAATTATTTTATCTATTATGCACTTCTTTTGTAAGATTTTATACACAAAATTTCGTTTTTGTTAACATGATTTATGAATTGCGAAATACCTCAAGTTGCATGCTTCTTGAATTGCAGTTCAGTTTTCTAATCGTAGGTAATTTACTATCAGATTTCGTTATCCTGCATTTGTAGTATGCGTATACACATACAGTCACCCATACATATATTCATTATAGCATTTCTATAAATTAAGGATAAAATCCCGGGCTTATTTACACTTTGCATTGAGAGTAGGGAGTAGAGAGTAGAGAGTAAAGGATGAGGGCGAGAGTAGTAATGTGAGAAGAAGATGATGCAAATGCAGTTTTGGTGGAAACAGATACAGTGAATCTTGTGGCTTTGGTGCTGTGTACTATTCCTATTTGTATCCCTCTAATTGGGGTAGAGAGCCATTTCTGTACCTCTATATATATATATGTATATCTATCTCAAAATTCTTATAGTACACGTCTTCCATCTCAATCTCCATCTTCCAGTCCCATATAGATAGATAGATAGATATAGTGGTTGCAGCATACACACGGATCTCCATCTTAAGGAGCTTTGGTATGATGGTGTTCGGACGTATGATGTCTTCCTTCAACCTTTCCTAATATACGTTTTCATACTGCCAACTAACACTGGTGTCTTGCAGGTTATGGGCAAATCTCAACGTGGTGCCGTTGGAGGGTCACAGGATCCGGCAGTCTCTCCCGCAAGACGTTTTACCCGGGCATCCGCACGTAACAGCCCCCTAGAGGCAACTCATCCCGCAAGCAGGAATCCATCGCCCATCCGCAATCCCACAAAGAAAGTGACAAAACGGAAGGGATCTCGGGTCTCGCCACTGCTCCAGCGACTCCGGTCCATCACATCAGAGTGGGAGAAAGAGCGCGATGCTCGTGGTCAAAGCATGAAGCCAACATCTTCCACTCGAAGGGCAGTGCTTCAGGATTCAGAGGGCCCTTTGGAGGTAATGTGGTTCCTTTGCCGAAAGCATGTCCTTATTTGAACTCTCAGTATAACACTACAATAGGCTGACACTGTTAACCCCAACAGGAACATGATGATAGGGATGTTCCATCAGTGCAGTGTCTAATTTAGGCTACTCTTGACTGCGTACTACCTTATCAAACTCATATGCCCTGTCTGTTGTAGGTCGGCACACATGTGCTTCTATTATCCCGCACCGGTGACAAAGAAGTTGTTGCAGAGGGACTTCTGCTCTGCCCCCCTGGGCCAGGTTGGTCTGGTATCTTTGAGGATGTTTAATTAAACTTTTAATATGCCTCAGCGAGATATCGTAGGTTTTCGTGACTGTTCAGGCCTCATATTGCGTATTAGCATGGATTCACTAAGTGTAGAAGTATACAATGATACGATCCGTGGATTTCCAAAGCGATGTAGACTGTTAATGTAGGGGTGGTAAAATAACTGCTATTATGACGACCCATGTTTATTGAAGGATGTTTGGTTTAAAGATCAAGCTGCAATTACATAGGAAATTAGGGTATAATGTGCTTCGCTACCTAACTCATGAATGTAATACCATGTACTGTACGACATGTCTGAATGTACGTACTCCTCTTGTTCTAGTTCCAAAGTATTACACTTATAATGTCTGTGTTATGACATGTTATATATACAGTTCGAACGTCTGTTGATATATATGCTTGAATGTAATCGAAAATTGCTCTTGTGAATGCTGTAGGTGACACACTTTCCTTGGTCAAGGTCTTCGTGACATCCGCGTCAGTCCCAGACACACCCCTTATTTTGCCGACCATTTCTGGGGCGACTACCCTTCGCGATGTCGTCGGCGAAGATCCTATTGAGTGGAGCTACAAGGACGTAAGGATCTACTTTAATACCTTTCTTGTATTGCCTTCCGAAATTTATAAGAAGTATGACTTAAAGTAATCTCTGTGTTGGCAATTGCAGCTCATGCGCCGGGCTTGAAATGTTGGTACCGATACACCCATGTTAATTGCCCCGTTTGTCATATGGATTGAATGTCGAACCTGTCTTTGGATGGATTGTGTTGAGTTTTTGTTGAACTATGTCTGGAATTGATGCGTAGACCTTTGTGGTTTGAATTTGTATGGTGAAAAATGTGCCTAATGGGATTGATGGATAACCGTATTTGCTTATTGCGTTGTTTACTTGTGTTTGAACTGTTAAGCACGTTTTGCGGAACAGGTTGTTGATGTGTAGATACTAGTAGGCTTGTTCTATGGGTTGCTTTACTTTGTTGGTAGGTATGGAATTCAGATTTTAATATGAATTAATGTTTGCGCGGGGCGTAATGATGATGATGTTTATAGCAATCTTTGCATTCGTAATTTATTTTCGTATCATACGCATCACAGCAGGTCCATTTGTTACGAACAATTTCAATTGCAGCGTACCCCCTGTTTTTCACAATACGCTATTTTTCCGTAACAAAAGGCCAGAAAATCGTAACAAAAAGTGGTCTTTGGATATTTGTTGTTACAGACGGTTTCGTGACTATAAGTAGGTAATATTTTTTTTACGGGGTTCAATGCCGTTACAAATAGTCGTAACAAAAACCAAGTTCTGACAACCGGTCAATGGAAAACACTTGTAACGCGAGGAACTTCCGTAACAAATACCGTAACTAAAAGTCCTGCCACACGCGCGGAAGGATCTACCTTTCGTTACGAGAGAAAATTCGTAACAAACATCGTAACAAATACCATACTTCAGGTAGCGTTGACCGATCGTAATAGTTACGAAAAGTGGCGTGGCAAAAAACATTCGTTACGCGAGTACACATTACGGAAAAAAGTCGTAACAAAGGCGTAGCAAATACGCAAATTGCACGAAATATGGCTTTTTGTTACGATTTTCCGGCCGTAATAGAAAACAGTTTTTTTGGTAGTGAGAACCCATTCAGGTTGATGTCTGATAACCGCCACCAGACATAATAGGTACTCACTCGGACTATTCTGGAATTTTTTTAGATCTTATTTTTTGGATGACATAAACGTGATGTCCTTTTTATCATTGCAACATACTCGTTAGGTGGCTTCCAACACCCATTCCGCTCCGAAATCCACACCAACGACATAGTCATCTCAGGTCTAGTCAGTAAGGCAACAACACTCTCTTGTATTAATTTGTGGGAAATATGCATACATGTGTGAATATATGTTACAGATATCCGTTGTAACGAAATGCCTATTCATAGGGTCCATTGGGGACAAGGGATAGGAGTGGAGCATCTCGGCGTCCAACATTATCCTCGCTTCTCCAAAGCGTTAGATTCTCGCTTAAGCCGGGAAAGCGTCGACTGCTATCAGCGGGTGGATCTTCGAGTGCTCGTTCGTGAGAATGAAATGCTATTTTAGTATGCCGTTTGTGATGAATGCCTATTAGATTCGGACTATTTCATATTATATACTTTGGTCGTATGGTGCCGGATAATATGGACATATGAAGCGCTATGTTCCTTTTGTTTGTTTTGTGTCGGCAAATGCATATTTTACCTTCGTTATCTTGTTGTTATGTTCAATGGTCGTGGATAATGATAGGGTTTGGAACGTTTTGTATATTGCCTATTAGATTATCTATTTCAATGTTTAATGTTGTCAATTGTATAATGTTGAATGCCTATTAGATTGCCAATTTCAATGTTTAATGTTCCTTGCTGACTTTGTTTATTATTACATTATATTGTCCTACGAATATACCACTTCGGTTCAAGATCTCCCCCCTCCCCATGGGACTTTGATTTCGAGCCACTAAACAACATCTCTTATCATATTCAATAGTAAATATTAGAATGATTGCAAAATGATACAAACACATAAGATTACTTGGATCCAAATAAATTCATTTATCAGCTTCACTCCCTTTCGTTGCAAAGTACCACAAAATTTACAATTTTGAAATTGGTATAGATCCTTAACAACATCCAATTTGATTCAAAAGGTGGCAAGGATTCCAAAAATGCAGTTCAAGAATAGCGATTCAAAACTTTATTCAATTGATTCTAAATAAAAATTACAACATCGTGAATCATAAAATTTCAGTGACAGAAATTTCAATATTTCAAATGAATTACTGAAACCAAACTACCTACCCAAAAAAAAATCCAATTCGGAGATCAAATCGACAGACCCAAACCCAAAATTGGTAACACGAGATCTAAACGATAAAATCGGTAAAATGGTAAGATGGGTAATCATTATTGAAATAAGCTACTGTTCGAGATGGACGTACCCAAAGTTTGTGGAATCCTAAGTCGAAATCGGGTGACGAGAAGACGTTGTAGAATAATTGAGCCGTATTGGATTTTGGGTGAGAAGTATACGTTGTGAAGTAAAAGAATGGGAATGAGAGAATATTGTATATAATAAAGTCAAATGATCATTTTAGTAACTTTACAGACAAATTTATCACTTTCTGGACCAAAATTCACATTTGAGGCGCGTGACACACATTCCTTGTTAAGTCCTAACGAATTAGAGTTTTTCTGCAACGTTTTACAAACTACAATGAGATATTTTGAAATTTTAAAACCATAAGGAGTTTTTAGCAACTTCACAATACACATGAGAGTTTTATATTATTTTTCTATTAATTTAATACCAAAGATGCCCGTATATATATATATATATATAGTCGGGTGGGGATCGTCGGTCCCTAATAAGCGTCGGTCCCTTAATCCCTACCAATGCCACCAACGTGTGGCCAATTTTTTTAAAAAAAATTATATATTTTATATTTAATAAGGTAAAATATATTTAACCATAATTACAAATTCGTCCTTCTGAATTCTATTTCGATTGTCCATTATGCCATCAGTCCATTCTTCTTCCATCTCTAGCGGCAGAAAAACTCTCATCTGTCCATGTCCAGGGAACGAGTTTCCGGTCACTAGTCATCGTTGTTGTGGGTGCGTTTGTTTTTATTTTATTTCTAAATCCATCATTGGAATTTCAGTGAGATTCGTTTTCTCAATCCATAGGCCTCATCGTCCCCAGCCAAGTTCAGGTACGTTGTTCTTGCTTTTTTTTTTTTTTTTGCAGATTCTCTTTTTATTTTTTGTCGTGGGCCCCTCGTATCTTCCGCTTTGTAAAATTTGTGATTGGTTTTTCGATTTAGTGTTGTTAATACTGGTGATTTTCAATTTCAGTTAGCTCTTGTTGATTTAGGGTTTAAAATTTTCAAATTTCGTATTTGGATTGTATAAAGGAATTCTATATTTTTTTTAGTTATTATTAAAGAATTTAGAAATTAAATTTCAGCCGGTTCCCCTGCTCCAAAATTTTGTTGCATGATCATTGTCATAACCAAAATGTTTGAGAAATAAACTTCACCATGTTCAATCGCCGAATCCATCTGTACTTCTTTCTAAGCTCAATCTTGATTAGAAAGCTTCTGTCTAAGATTCTCAATCCATTGAGATTTTCACATAATATATTTTAAATTATTTATTACTTATTTCCTAGTTTGTATTTTTTTAAAAATAGTATGTGCTTGAATTTCAACATTTTTAATTTGCTTGAACTTTGTGTTTGGATGTTATTTGGTCAATAATAACTTTGTGTACTACATTGATGTTTTTCACTTTTTCTTTTTCTACCTGATCAGATATATCTTTTTTTTAACAGTAATCTTCTCGGTTGGACCTTTGAAAAGAAAGCATGACATTTTCATATACTGGACATTCAGTTCGGTCAAAGTCTGTTCATCCTGAGTTTAGTCCAAAAATGGACTTCGAAACCGAACAAACCCCAAGGAGAATTTTTTCAATGCTCAAATGTTGTTATCAAAGTGAATATTGTTCTAAGTTATGGTATTATTATGACTTTTTTTATTTTTTCAATTTTGCGACTATGTAGGGTGTGCTCTATCGGTGTAGTAATATTGAAAGTTGTTTTTGTAGATTATTTGGAGGGTATGAATTTTCTAATAGTTGGTTATCTTATTGGAGTGTAATATATATATATATATATATGATTTTGTTTTGTATACCCGTTGGACATCTCTTGTCGAATTCAAGCATTTTTGGATAGTTTGTGTATAAAATACTGATAGTATCTTGATGATCTTAGTTCTATATTACTAATTATACTCAATGGTAATGTGTTGTGTGATGATTTATTATAATCGATGGCTTAAAGGGACGTTGATATCAATGTGATAGAGGGGTATGAAATCATAATTTCATAATAATACTATGCTTCAATATTTTCATGTCAACTAAAGTAACAATTGTGTTCTTCCATTACACTAAAAAAATTGCCTTGTAGCAAATAATTAAGTGAGTTGTTGAGTGGTAGTACATAAACCAACCAACCAAGTGTCTGCCAATCTCAATTTCATAAGAATAATATCAATAAAATAGATTTCATTTACTAGTGAGTGAGTTGAGTGGTAATGCATCAACCAACCAACTAAAACCATCCAAAGCATGCAAAGACAACACAGTAACAAATTTACTAGACAGATACAAGACTACTAGAGAAAAAGCATTCCCAACCTGATTTCGATGATCTCAAGCTATAGTTAGCTAAATCCATCTCCGGTACAGCTCCAAAAACAAAGTCCCACGACTAACAAATAGACCATCAGACATAAGCAACAAAAATACAAAATTTTAAGCATTCTCTAATTGTCTAAATGTTGATCTCTACTTTAAGCACCAATACAAGCTGATTGAACCTACGTTTATAGAATATTGAAAAAAAAAATCAGTAAAAATACACTAAATAAATCAATTGAAAAATATCATTATTTTTATAAGAAATACCTCAAGTAAAGTAGTAAAATTCATAGAATAACTCAAGTCATTTTGGTATTGGTATTGTATATTTGCCGAGGGATTAAGTACCGTAATCTAAATATATATATATAAATATATATATATAATATAAAAAAAATCAATAAAGAAAATCTACATACAATTAGTCTTCCCATTGGCTAATTAATTTTCATAGTTATATAAAAAAACCAACAAACATCACAGAACAAAGGCATAATATTGCAATAGAGTTATTGGAAATGTGCAGCAACAATAATCACCGAGAGTTTATCAAACTGTTAAAAAAATAGTAATTAAACAACCTGTTGTGGCCGTATAATTTGATTAGGCCGCAACACAATATCATGCGGCCGAACATATGTCTCACGTAATTGTATAATAAATAATACTCAGATAATTTTTTTTAAATTTTTTTTTAGATAAAATACAATACTGAGGTAGCCCGTTCATCAATTATAT